CTGTTGCTCTGTTACGAGCTGAAACATCTGGGTGAAACTGATGGACCGCCAGGGATTTGGGCAGCCCAACCAATCCACCAAGGTCCTCTTTGTCCTCTTCACAAAGCTTGGACAACACAGTCATGATGCTTTGTGCGCTCTCTTCCATGCTGATTTCCAGCTGCCACAAAAAACGATCTCATGAAGTTTAGAGAATCGTTCCTGCCAGCCCAGAACCCTCCCCTAAACTGATCAGCAGAATGCAGTTGGACCTCTTGACATAAATGTTCAACTCTAATATAGAGAAGAATTTGTAATAAAACAGACCAACCTCATTTTGGTTTGTACAAGCACAGCCCCTGTGATGGTTGATGATGCAAGCTTCATGTAAATCCCTAAGTTTGGGTTAGTTAAGTTGACTGTGGATGAGCAGGCCTCATCCACTTCTAATATTTGCAAAGTGGAACTCTTATTATTTGCTTTGCTACGTGAATCTTCCCCTGTCTCAACCTTGGTTTGAATCTCATGTATGGCATGTTCAGAGTCCTTGTCATTTTGCATAGAAGCACCGGTTTTTTTCCTCTGCAGATAAAGGAAATCATCAGTCGCTCAGACTTGAAGAAATTCAAAGGGACGAGGCTGAGTTTTAGCAGATTTCTGAGGAAATGGATTTTAACTTCCAGGGAAGCAATATTGTTCCATTTGTTATTTTTAAAATTCACATTCCTTGTCTTTATACCTAATTCGATGTTTTAACAGAGATTGTCATGCCCCTGATGGAGACTGACTCTGAGGGAGAGGAGGAACAGTTGACAGGGAGTGGAAGTGTGGCTCCGGAGGTTGTGGAGGAGGCTGGTGAAGGGCAGAGGCCAGCTGGGAAGTCAGAGGAGGACCCAGGTCCATCCCGTCTCCATCCTAGGGCATGCAGGAAGGAAAGGATCAGGGAGAGACGTGGTCTACTCGGGAGGAGAGGGCCTTGATCCTCTTCATGGGCTGCAGCTGTGACAACTGGATAAGAGGATGGACATGCGTATGGGCGAGAGCTGGAAACAAAGCATGGAAATATCTTTAGTTTATTGTACCTCTCTGAGTTTGGTGTCCTTCCTAGTGTGTGTTCTGATATCTGTGGATGTCTTCCAGCCATTATCTTGCCTGGTTTGTGTTGTTTTTTTACTCTTTATAATTTAAATGGCATTTCCTCTTTCTTTTTTTTTTTTATATATAAATTTTTATTATTTTTTTAACATAAAAAACACAACAACAAAACATAAAAGTATCAGCTCCCCCATATTTTTGTACACACCGTAAGTCGGTTGGTCCATCGGTTTTGTGCATTCACCTCATAGTCACAATTACAGTTACTTTATATAATACTCTTATCAATACAAATTTATAAATCCTAGTATCTCTATTAAAGAAAAAAAAAAAAATTTGACTAAACTTTTATTCGGTCATGCCTTTATGAGATAACTATATTTTAAATATTTTATTCTAAAACAAATCTTATAATCATACCAATTCTATCCCAAATATGAAAAAGAAAGAAACAAAGAAAACTATTATATAAATATAGTATCAAAAACCAATAAAAGGAAAGGGAAAATAAAGTCATTATTATTCCTTATTATCTAACTTTTATATTTTAATATTTCATCATTCAACCATTGATAGAAAAGATCCCAAACTAAATAAAATTGTTTATCTTCTTGCTCTCTAATTTCAAAAGTCAATCTACTCATCTCAGCACATTGGCATTTCCTCTTTCTTGTAACTGCTTGTGTGGGAGTTTTTTGTCTCCAGCCAAGGATATTTAGAGCTTGGAAGCAAAGTGAAGGAATAAAAGGGGCTTCACTTGTTTTTTGTGACTGTGTTTGTTTTGTATGCCACCCTGGGTCATCACAGAGATATTTGACATATCTATTTTTACATCAGCACATTATTTTATCAAACAAAGCACTAACAAGCAAAATAATCAGAATACTAAAACTTTTGGGGGTTCATATTAAATAACTCATATATTATTTAAAGTGTCTGTCTATGTGGATTGATAGATGTCTGAATACATAGGAATGCATTATATTTTTCCCCCATGTCAAACACGCAAAGTTGGGATGTTAGAAGTTTTGACTATGCCAGGATGGATGGCGACACTCATAATACCACTGGCAGAATATTCAAGAGACTGGCACCTGGTGAGCATGTTTAGAGCAGCCTGCATGGGTTAAAAAAAAAAGAATTATGAGGGACAAAATGCATTGAAGAGAAAAAGGAAGAATAGAATAGAATGGAATGGAATGAAGAGCAGAGCAGAGTAGAGTAGAGTAGAGTAGAGTAGAGTAGAGCAGAAAAGAACAGAACAGAACAGAGTAGGGTAGGGTAGGGTAAGATGAGATGAGATGCATCACTGTTTGGCAACTGTGTGGTGTCCACTCCGGATCAGCAACATTGCTTTACTGCCGTCGTCTTTGCTCTTCTACAAATGGCATTCCCAGATTTTGGACTGGAGCAGAGTTCTTGGGCCAAAGAGTTCCCTTGCACTTTTGAGCTCTTCCTCATGAGAACTTTGTCTAAATTCTTTTTTTTTTTTTAAGAGACTTTAATTTACCCTTGAGAAAAAACTAATTCTAATGTAAGGAGTAAAATTAAGAAGAAGAAAAAAATAAGTTGAATGGATTTTCTTTGTACACTTTGGTTCTACAGAAATATGTTCCATTTTTATTTATTTTCTAAGAGTGAAAAAAAAAAATCATCACAAAAGAAGACCAAAACTAATATTGGTGGGAATTATTGCCCCAGGAAGATACACATACTTGCAAAAAAAACAAACCCACACACAACCATTGGATGGGATATTGTTTTGGCAGGCCAGCCAGGTTATTAAAAAGACCCTGAAACACATTTTTACATGCATAAGATGAAGAATGATTAAAATACACATTTCTTCACTTTTGCGTCCTCAAGGAATGATTTAGTTCAATTCTGGTTTGCTAATAGGGTTTCCTACAGAAGTGCCATAGATGGAGAAATACTGAATCACCCACCATGGAAGAACGGATCACGAAAATGCCAGAACTGGGAGAAATGGCACCACTGACCTATTTGGACATGGACACAGCAATAAGAACTTTTATAACAGCCTGGAAACTTTCTGGATGTTTTGGTGGAAATGGGGAGGGGAAAAGTGAAATGATGAGTTCTGAAAAAGGACTGAATAACAGGCAGAAGGAATTTTGTAATATAGAAGAGGGTGGAAGTACAATTGCGTTTGTGGGAAGCAAGATTGGAAGTTGCTTTACCTTTTCTGATTTTTGTTTCTTTACTTATCTTTCTTTCCTTTTTAAAAATTTTTTGCTTGGCTTCTCAACTTTCTTTTTCGTGTGTGTGTGTTTGTGTGTGTGTGTGTGTGTTATGTATGTTCATACTTTATGCATCTTTGGAGTCAATCTTTCCAACCTCCCCAATAATTGGCAATGTTTTTTTTAAAAAAAACCTTTCTGAAATAAAGAGAAAGTAAGATGAAGATTTTCATGACGTTCAGTGGTTTATTGAAGGTTCCATCGCCACTCGCTCTCTTAAGGGTGAGGCCGATGGATCACCAGGGAACTGGGCGACCCAACCAATCCAAAAAGGTCCCGTTGTCCTCTTCACAAAGCTTGGACAGCACAGCCATGATGCCTTGAGTGCTCTCTTCCACACTGATTTCCGGCTACCACAAAAAACAAACAAACAGATCTCACGAGGTTTAAAGAAACAGTCTTGCCCTCCCATAAATAGATCAGCAGAATAAGTTCAACCCTAACAGAGATGGATTTGTATTAAACGGGCCAATATCATTTTGGCTTATAAAGGTATGTGAGGCCAGTCCATTAGAAGGATGATGATGATCCAAAACAGCATGAAAATCCCTACATTTGGGTTAAATTAGGCTAACCACGCATGAATATTCCTTGCAAATGCACGTCGCGAATAAACAAAATTAGTCATAATATTTGCAAAGCGGAACTCTTATTCGAGGAGTCCTTGGTGCTTTCTGGGCTTGGTTGTTTTCTTGCAGACGTTTCATTACACAAACTAGGTACCATCATCAGTGCTAGGGAAAATCATCCCTAGCACTGATGATGTTGCCTAGTTGGGTAATGAAACGTCTGCAAGAAAACAACTTAGAGCACCACCAACTTTCAACCCTGAGCTACAAACATTTGCTTTTATTGGTTTCCCATGTCAAAAAATACTTACAATTGGGTTGCGAGCAGTGCTAACTGAACCAGGATAGATGGCGACACTCATAATCCCATCGGCTGAATATTGAAGAGACTGGCATTTTGTGAGTATGTTTAGAGCAGCCTGCATGGATTAAAAAAAAAAAAAGAACTATGATTGGAAAATGCATTGAAGAGAAAAAGGAAGAATATGGTGAAAATAAATAGCGTACAATAGGAGATTATTTGTGAAATGTTACGTGAGGGCCTGGAAAGCCAGATCAGCAATGAACTAAAACATTCCTTGAGGACACAAAAGGGAAGAAATATCTATCGTCATTATTTTGCAATCTCATGCAAATGAAAATATGTATCAGGTTCTGTTTAATAACTGTTGTGGCTCGCCGGCAGCTGATGGAGCTGGCAGCAGAGTTGGACAATAGTAAGGAGGTTGGGGAGGAACCTGGGCCGGGTCTGGAGGCTGAGGAAGACCCAGAAGAGGGCTCTGCATCAGAGGAAGAGATGGGGCCAGGGTAGTCTGGCAGTCAGCAGCTGCCTTCGGGTTCGGACAGCAGTGAGGCGGGGAGCTTATGGAACCGGTTCCCAGCCTCTGCATGCGCAGGACTACCAGAAGACCAGAACAATTGAGAAAGCAGGGTCGACTCAGGAGTAAGGCCACACCTTGGAGAAGACTGGCCCCTCCCATAGGACATAAAAGAAGAGCAAACGGGATGTGAGCTTTGGCAGGAAGCAATTAGTTCATCTGCTCGCTTCAAGCTTTGAAAAGTTCTGTTCACTCTGTGTCAAGTTTGGCCTTGCCCTGCGTCTGCCAATTAGTTCTCTGGCCGCATTCCAAGTGCAATAAGGTGGGTGTTTATAAACATTTCCCTGAAAAACTGTTTGTGATGCCTGGCCGGCTGTGAATGAACGTAATTCACAGCTGTGGCAATAAAAGAGGTTTTGCTGGGGATTAAAATTGTGTTTTATGCTTTCTAAGGAAGCCTAGGTCATTCTCAAAAATAAATGAAATCTCTTTTTCAAAGAACCTTCCCCTTCCACCCTTGAATTGGAACAAAATTGTTTTGAAGAATCACTCCAGAGTGCCAGGGAGCCCTTTCATAGAAGACTTCTCCATCAATATTTGGAAACTGCTTGTAGACCAGCAAAGATAGTGACAACGAAGCATCACTGCTGACCCAGAGCTGGTACAGCAAATAGTGGCCATAAAAGTGTTTCCATCTCACGAAACATAACAATTCCTTTTTATTATTGTAACTTGCCTAACATAGCTCTACAGACAGTGAGGTGAGCCGTATATAAATTTAACAAATAAATCAAACGGTGTTGCGTCTCAGGACTTGATGAGAAATGTGGGATTAGGGACACACAAGCATGGACAATTGCCAATAATGGAAAATATTTGTAGCTCAGGACTGAAATGAGGGGTCCTTGATGCCCTCTGAGCTTGCTTGTTTTCTTGCCGACGTTTCATTACCCAACTACATAACACCATCAGTGCTAGTAAGGAGTGCTGTTTGCTGTCAGTTTATATTCTGGTGTCTCGTGTCTGTGTGGGTTGGGGAGGGGGTCTTAGAGGCATTTTGGTTGGGCTGTTTGCTGCTGGCTCTTTGGCAGTTTCCTGATTGGGGTAGTGCTTACTTGATTGTTGGTCTGAAGTTGGCCTTGGAGTTAATCTATGCTGATCTGAGTAGTTACTGGTAGAGAAGTGCTTGGATCTTTCGTGCCCTGTTTGGGCTGGGTGATAGTCTCTTTTGTTGTTAATGTGCATATGTGTCTGTTGATGGCTGAGTAGTCAGTGCAGGGCTTCTAGAAATTCCCTGGCATTTTTGGACTTGGCCTGGTCTAGGATTGTTGCATTTTCCCAATGGACAGATGCATTCATGGTGGAAAAAGGAATTTCCATTGTCTGCAGGCAAGTCTACATAGACAACTCATTAGGTACCTTACTGCAGCGGTATCCAATTATCTGACATTGGACCCAATAAGCCATCAATTCAATTGAGCCCGTGCTGCTGGACATGTTAATAATAGCTGCTTTACTGCAACTCAGCCCTTGACCTGGGCTTCTCTGGGCTGCTTTCTTCAGCAGGGGTAGGAAGGCCTGATAAGAGACAAGAAAAGAGAAAATGAGCCGCAGTTCGGCCGAGGAGAAGGAACCACACAATGACATGGGGAAGGCCTTCTGTCTCCTTTGCAAAAAGGGACTTTCGTTGAGTCATCCAGGAAATTGTTGGGTTCCAATGCTGCCTAAAAAGAAGCATCTACCTTTAATGTTTCAACCTGCTCCCAAACTGGCTTGCAATTTCAACTTCGTTGTTTTGACCACTACAGTATTACTTTGCTGCCTAGTTATACGAAATTCACTGGCTCAATCTTTTTTTCTTGAATTAAAGCAGTCTTCCTTGCTTTAAAAGAAGTTTTGTTCGGAAACCCACCTGACTCATTTGCAGGGTTCCAATAGTATTGACAGAGTAAACACTCATCATATTCTTGGCATTTTCTGTTTGCAGATCACTGAAGGTCCAAATGCCGGCATTGTTGTATAGGATGGTCAGGCCACCTTCTCCAACGCATTTCTGCACTTCTTTCTGAGCTGCTCGGATGCTTTCAAGGTTAGTAACATCTAAGATAAAAAACAAGGTTATGGCAATATGAGCAACATGGAGTTTCAGAACTGCAAGAGAAGCGTTTCCTGAAACCACATATCTTTGTGTTTCTTCTGCAACTAAACATGTTCTGGAACAGCAGCGTGAGAGCGTCATCCCCAGCAGCTGAGGGCATGGACACTACACAAGCACATGACTAAAAGCAAGAACTCTTACGATCACACAATCTGATCTAGTCACTCTACTCTGAACTTGCTCTCACCTAAGGCTAAACTCATTTTGTCTATTTATCTAGCCTATTGCATAAACTCACAACTGACACTGTTTTTACAACATTCAAACCCCAACCCAGTGGTGGAATTCAAAAAGTTTTATCATCGGTTTGTGGGGCGTGGCTTGGTGGGCGCACTTTGCACACGTGCGCACACTTTGCGTGCGCGCACGTGCCAAACGCACTTTTTGTGCAGGCACAGAGGCATTCCAACTCACCTCCTGCAACCCTGCGCTCTCCCAGTTGCTTCAGCAAGTGCCACATAGCCCTCTGCTGTCCCGCGCAAAGCAGCTGCGCTTCAAAAGCAGGAAGTAAAGATGAATATGGAAGCCCAGGCAGGCAGGTGGGCCCAACAGCAGAGCGGCGGAGAGAATTGCTTCCGTCTCCGCTGCTCATCGCCGCTACCAACTCAGCAGAACAAGGCCAAACTGGTGGATTACTGCCACTACCCCAACCCAACAATGGAGTCAATTGCATAAAGATAGGTGGCTATAGAAACCAAATAAATAACTAAAACGTAAAGGTCTTTCTGAGCTCTGTGAAAGAATATATACTTTGCCTGTTGAAATCATACAGAGCTGCCTATTAGAGCTGCCAAGAGATTCAGTTTATGGACTCTCAGAAAAGTTTGGAATCAGCCCTGGGAGCCGAAGTCCACATATCTTAAAGATGCTAATTTTGAAAAACATTGGTACCATGTTTCCCCCAAAATACAACCTACTCAGAACGTAAGCCCTAGCTTGATTTTTACACGTACAACCAATATAAGCCCTACCCCCAAAATAAGCCCTAATTAAAATCCTGCCCACTGTAGGGTAGATGGGTAAAAATTAAGCTAGAGTGGGGATTGTGGGGTGGAGCCGCCCTACTACTTATCTTTGGATAGTTGCAGCCAGGTGTTGCCCACCTCGGCCCATTTCTTCTGCAGGCTTTTCTGAAGGCCTCTCTAGCCAATAACAGAGCTCCAGATTGATCCGAATCCTTCCTTTCACCCATCTCCTCCACCTTATGACTATAACTTTGTTGCTTGTATCCTAACAATTTTTATTGACTGTTTCCCAGTATGATTTGATTGCTTATTGCACCCTATGACTATCATTAAGTGTTGTACCTGATGATTCTGGACTCTTGACGAATGTATTTTTTCATTTATGTACACTGAGAGCATTTGCACCAAGACAAATTCCTTGTGTGTCCAATCACACTTGGCCAAAAAAGAATTCTGTTCTATTCTATTCTATTCTATTCTATTCTATTCTATTCTGTTCTGTTCTGTTCTGTTCTGTTCTGTTCTGTTCTATTCTATTCTATTCTATTCTATATGTGTGATGAATTCAACATCAAAGCTGACAAGTCTTTCTTCAGACGGAACACTCTGGAACAACTAATACTTACCAAGATATCTAGTTGTTCAAAATGTTCTCTGGAGAAAGCTGTTCTAACATGTGGAGGCATTTATGTTCAATTCTTTTCTCTCTGGGAAACTTATTCATGTGAACCCAATGTTACATTTTTGGTTAACTTCAAGAATAACTTTGGTTACTTTGGGCATTCCTGTAGTATCAAATTTGCTCCATTTTCACATGGCCCTTGAAACTTACCTAATTGCAACATCACCAGATTTGGATGTTTGCAAGCCAACTCTCTCAGCTCCTGGAGGGAAAAAAAAGATCATAGTTTTTCTGTGAATTAAAACTCTCAGACAATGATGTGAGGACCACATCCAAAGGAAGAGCAAGCAGGAAAGGTCATTAGATCTTCATGGTCATTGAGCATGCACCATCTCTGACTGAACAAAACAAAACTTGAGAAATCACACAAAGGCTTAATACAACCTGGGATGATACTCCATTCAACTTAACCCAACCATGTATTGTTCCCCACAAAATCTTCCATGCTCTACTGCTGATTTAAAGCTTTTAAAGTGGAAACGTATATGTGTGGACAGTCTGTCCAGCAAGTGCCATGGCTGAAGGCTAAGTGAGCTGATTAATGGAGGAAGGCATTTGGTTAATTTTCTGGGTTCAATAGAGGTGTAAATGGTGAATGGCTTAGCAACAAGTTCGCGCCTCTTTGGATACACTGAGCATGTCTGGAATTCTGGAGTCTTATCTTGTAGAATAGCTGCAAATGTTTATCTGGACAATTAGGGCCAGAATAGTCCATTAGTGGGAAGCAAATCAATCTACTCACATTTATTTTGTAGGAATATGAAGCAGAGAATGTATGGGGTGCTAGCAAGAATGGCTTGTGGAGATAAAAAAAAAAACGATATAGAGAGGTGCCATGAATTTTGTTGATATGAATTCGATTTAATTATATCTTCTATTCACTGTTTCTCCTCTTGCACTATGCCTTAATTTATCACTTTCCCCTGCTTATTCTATTCCTCTGCATTGAATGGCATTGCTTTTGGGGAAAAACATCTCTTGGGTTGAATATAAGAAAAACAAAGTATGCTATAGAGCAGGGGTCTCCAACCTTGGCAACTTTAAGCCGGGCGGACTTCAACTCCCAGAATTCCCCAGCCAGCTGGCTGGGGAATTCTGGGAGTT